TCAAATGGCATAATATTATAATAGTATTTGGAATGATTTGAGAAAAATCATTTTTCTTTTTCTTTTATATTTTACATTTTAGTAATTGACATAGACTTCATATGTACATGTACGTAGGAAGTAAAGGTAAATGTTAAATGTTCGTCATTTCTGTCTTTTTCTTTGCCTTCTTCTAATCTTAAATCTTGTTTTTCACGTGAAACAGAAAAAATGTAATGGACAATGGTACGCGTTCTTTCTCTCTCTCTCTCTCTCTCTCTCTCTCTCTCTTTCTATCTTGTTCTTTCTCGTTTTCTCTCTCTCTCTCTCTCTTTCTTACACACACACGCCGGAAAACGAACCGGTGACAGATGGCGGGTAGAGATAGCGTCCTTCGAAGGTCCTGCTAACCAGCGAAACGACCTACACGGATCCTGTTCCTGTTGCGAGATAAACGAAACAGCTGCGTCTCGGCGCCGATCAAAGATCGTTCTCTTTCTTTCGTTAACCAGAATGCTTTCGAGTCAAGCAACTTTCGAGTTTCGATTCACGCGAGGAGCAGCAACAGCAGCAGCAGCTACAACAACAACAATAGCAGCAACAATAGCAACTGCTCGCGTGAAAAATGTATTGGCTCACTCGTGAATTTTCTCTCGAGATTTGTAGGTATATCTGACGATCGTAATTATGAGTCAGAAAAAAGAACGGTGGTGGAGATTGGGGAAAGAGAGAAAAGGGGAAGAGAAGGATAACGATCTCGCATGAAATTATGATAGGCCGTTAAAGGCGGACGTTAAAAAAATTAGAGGACTTTCTCGATTAGGGTAGATGGAGGAAGACCTTTGGATTCTAATCCTAATCCTTGGCTAATCGCTGTTCTCCCATCGAACGTTAGAAGATTAGCTGCGAAGCGATCGATGAGATGAGAGTAAGAAAATAAAATGGAAAAAGATTTTTAGAGGAATCGAATATCTTTCGGCGAGACAGGCGGAGCGTGTTTCTGTCGTAAACAAATTAGATAGATAAAGATGAGAAGATAAGAAAAAGAAAAAAAGAAAGAAAGAAAAAAGAAGTGGTAGATAGACGATTATATCCATATAATGACGGTCATGGAATCACATGTAAAATGAACCCGATGAAAATTCAAATTTTACAGCTATGATGACTTATAATTGTTAGCATTTTTCATCTTTAAAAATCAATGGACATTTAGGTATTGGTAATAAATATTCCAATTGTTTCATTATTAATAATAAAATTGATCGGATCCTTGCATATATTTTATACTGTGTCCATCTCGATCCACGAAATCTCCAGTCGTCCTCGATCATGAGGTACGCTTCAGAAGATGAAGAGGAGGGAGGTAGTAGTATAGTATCGAAGCGGCGTAGAAGCTGATGAGAAGGTTACGACTTGAGCTCTCACTTAGTGGCCGTAGTGTCACGATCGGGACGGCCGCATTAGCATATCTCCACGATGCAGCGTGTAGAGCAGTGGAAAAAGATTAAAAGAGAGAGAGAAAGAGAGAGAAAAAGAGAAAGAAAGAAAGAGAGAAAGAAAGAAAGAGAGAGAAAGAGAGAAAGAGAACGGAAGAGAGAGGAAGAGAATGAATGACGAAGAGGAAGACAGAGACGAAAGCCTAGAAAGGAAGGAAAGGGACAGAAGCATCAGCAGCAGGAACACCAGAAGAAACAGCAACACCGATGGATCTGTAAAACTGGCATGCATCTTTTACATGGGTCGTGGCCCCGTGAAAAGGAGGCTCACATATACGAATCGAAGAAGAAGAAGAAGGCAACGACGACGACGACGACGACGACGACGACGACGACGACGACGACGACGACGACGACGACGACGACGACGATACAGAGAAAGGAAAGAAGAAGAGAACTCACTCAGGACTCACCGGGCCTGCCTGTTACCTGTACGTCGCGTGTTTGCCTACCCGCGTCACGATCAGGATCCTATTTGCATAGCGCCGATGAAGCTGCTACCGTTGTTGCTGCTGGTGTTGCTGGTACTGGTGCTGATGCTGATGCTATGTTCGTTTCTTCTTCTTCTACTTCCTTCTCTTCTTCTTATTCTTCCTCCTACTCCGCCACCTACCATCGTATTTATACTTTCTTTTGAACGACGATCTCTTTCTGAAAATAGTAGAGCACGTAAGCTGTACGTTTACACTTCGACGTCGCGCATTGCTCCGATGTAATATGTATATTCGTTTATTCATCGATAGAGTATACTAGTATCGTATCTTAGTATAATACTAGTAGAATATTCTCTTCTACTTCTGTCTTTTGCATTTCGATTCGGTCTCAGAGTAACTCTACCGATAATCCTGCCTGATTTTAATTACGTTTACTCGAGTTATTAACACGCGAGATTTTGAGAAAGAGATTGTTAAAGGCTTAAAATTCAATGAAAAGATTTTTATCTTCTCTCTCTCTCTCTCTCTCTCTCTCTCTCTCTCTCTTTCTCTTTCTCTCTCTCTCTCTTTCATTCTCTCTCTCTTTTTGTCTCTTTAATAAAAAAGTATCCTCATTGTTAAAGTACCGTGGAGAATAATGAAGAGCGATGTCGATTTTATAGAAAAGAAGAAAAAAGAAAAAAGGAAAAAGAAAAACCATCAAGATGAATTGATCGAACGAGTGCCGCAACCGAGAGCACAGCACGTATGTCAAATTTTGACAAGTTGCTTTCAAACACGTGATGCTGTAAATCTTTACGCGTGTTGTTACGTGACCAAAGAAAAGAGAGAGAGAGAGGGAGAGAGAAGGAAAATCAACCACGTGGTAGAAACTTAAGGAAAATTGCCTGAACACAACCACATAGAAATAGGTAATTTTACATTCTTGAAGCTCTCATTATATCCCTCGTAACTTCAGTTTCGCATTCCTCTTGAAATCGGTGCGTTCATATACACGAACCTACTCCCATGATTTATACTTTTTTTAGTACCTCAAAAAAAAATATTCAAAAAAGCAGGAAAAGGAAGTACGCAGGATCTTTACAATCAACGTAGATAACGAAAAGATGAAATACGTTAACGGAAAATGATTATGTTAGCTTTGTGATCTGTACAATATCTGTCCAATCAAAATCTTATAAGATCTTATGATCTCATGATTTTTCTTTTTCTTTTTATATTTTAAAAATCAATTCCCTGAGATATATTGTACGATAAAAAGTACAACTTGACTAATTTAATTGAATCAAATTCTACCGTTGATGACACAATATAATAACAAAAAAAAAAAAAAGAAAAAGAAGAAAGTCCAATAAAAGTGATATTACCGAAGTTATCTTGTCCGCTTCAAACAGATTTACCATTTAAGTTTAAAGATCACAAAAGAAGGTATTGTCTTATCCACTTAAAAGAGGTTCAATATTTCGATTTAAAAGGTTACAAAAGAGAAGTTGTTGTCTAGTCCATTTTCAAACAGACTCAACATTCAGATCTACAAAAGAACAAAAAAATATATTGTTGTCTTCTCATCTTGTCATCGTCCTCTTCAAACAGATACAATGTCCAGTCGTGGAAGAGCGTAAAAAGAAAAGTAAAAGGAAAAAGAAAAAAGAGAGAAAATAGAAATGATGTTAAACGGGTCGGTTTTTTTATGAAAAAGTAAGTCCGAAGAAAGCGGAGGTGTATCTGGGTGGTGGCTTCCACGGCTCGTCCCACCCACCCCTACCCTTTTCCTTCACGATCCTCACACACTCCTTTCCGTTTCTAACATAGCTACAAAGCCCCGAGACTCGGTGGTGTGTAGACGGGCGCGGTATCGGTTCCAAGAAAGGCTTATCGGCTCGCGGATATGTTAATGGCGGCCGTGTTTGCCCCTCTCCCTCCCCTTTCGAGATATATTACACCCCGAGTGAAGGTGGTTGGCAAGCCGGACCGTGCTCGTGGGAGAGAAAGAAGCTTGTGTGTCGCGTTGTGAGCACGCGCGCGCGCCCGCGCGAGCGTCTGCACGCGGTGGTGTTTCGCAGCCCTCTCTTGATCACCAAGAACTCGCATGCACACGCAATTAAGAATTGCTGCTTGAGAATAAAAGACAGACAGAGAGGGGAGAGAGAAATGGTTAAGAGCCAGTATTACGCTTGAAAAGGACAGAAAGAAAGAGATGGTTAGGACGAAGAACGTTGCTTACCATCTCTCTTTCTTCATTGATGAACACTTATTTAGAGAGACAAGGAGAACACGAAGGAGGCTATTGATGCCAATACTTGATATCTTCGACGTGAGTTCTGCTGGCCTTTGCTCTAGACCTTCACAGAAGTCATCATCCTCTCTCTCTCTCTCTCTTTCTGTATATATATATATATATATATATATATATATTATATCTCTATTTAATCTAACAATTAAAACTACCACTTGATCTAATTTATCAAACATTTCGATCGATTTTACTCATTCATAGACTAAATAATTCACGAAGAATCATCAGTATCGTGAAGCTACGAGAAACGAAAGGCGTCATTAATCAGGTGCACGTCGAAATCTTATCGATTCTGTACAGGACTGAGATCAACCCAGCAGCCCTTCGGCAAGTCCGTTCGTAATACGTAAGAACGATCCTGAGTGAGTTACGTGGAGGGGGATTTCGAAAGGTTCGAAGGGTGTTGAGAACCTAAAGAGAGAGAGAGAGAAAGAGAGAGAAATAGAGAGAGAGAGAGAGAGAGAAAGAGAGAGAGAGAGGTGGGGGAACGACTAGCGTGGCGAGAAGCCATTAGAGCTTCGGACAGCTAAAGAGACGCATCGTTTTATGTGCGTGTCGTTCTTCCTTCTCGATCGATTTCCTCCGATAATCGACTTCGAGATCATGGTAGTTTCACATGAATCGTCGATCTCTCATCATCGTCGTCTTATGAGAAAATGTATATACATATTATCTAGCAATTAATCATACAAATAAAAAAATAACAAAAAAGAAACAAAATGTAAAAAAACAAAAGAAATAGGATTTAATAACAATGCTTGATTATGTATTATTAATTTTGTTTGTTAATTTCAGGGGAGGATGAGGATTGGAGCGACTCCGAAAAGACCCCATCGGTGAGCAGCGGCGTCGAGGGTGGTGGATCGGCCGTGTCTAGTCCAGTTGGAGCTACAAACGTTGAGGAGGACTCTAGTTTACCACCACCGCCGAGACTGAACGCCTCCTCTTCTTCCTCGAATAGTATAATCTTTAATTCAGCTGCCGATGACATCAAGCAACGATTTAATGTGCTTACAGAGAACGCTCGAAAGCGACTCACTAGTCTCACCGAAGAAGTAAGCTAATAGATTTAATTAGTTTTTCATTTATTTATTTATATTATTTTTCTTTTTTCTTTTCTCTTCTTCCGAATTTAAACGACAAAGTCAACAATTGATCAAATTGTTCGTAGATCACGAGAGAAACGCAGAGAGATCGGCACGGATTGTCGAGGGTCGTTCGAGAATCCAGTCCGAAGGAAATAGACGAAGAATCGTTGAGCGTAGTGTTAGTCAAAGATGAAGAATGTCAACAGAGGCCACCGTCTTCATCGTCAACTTCATTAGTAAGAAGAAGAGAATCAAGCTCCAGGAGAGATTCCGAAGATTCCACGAGACGCACGAGTACCACATCCAGCATCGTGGACGAAACACCTCCAGATCCGAAAAAGATGAAACTCGAAGAAGACGTTGCACCAAGACTGAGACTCAATGCTAGTCTAGCGACGGATCCGGCTCTTCGGCCTGCCGCCGTCGCGGCGCTTACCGTCAAGCCTGAAAACGCATCGCCGCCTAATCCCGGTCCACCTTTACCTGCTGGCCTGCAGAATGGTAAATCTACCTCGAGAGATCTTTCAAACTACAAAGAAATCGATATCCTCGCGATAACAAGACCTAAACTATCTTTGAAATTTCTTTCTAGATTGTAGTTCTTCATTGTTATTAGTTATTTCATATGATCATTATCAAAATGACATGTCTAGATTGAGAACGTGATACTAAAAAATTGAAATTGTGATTTCAGCGATTGCATCGGGTCGTTTGTTCGTCCTGCCAACTGACGGAAAAGAAACGATCACCGTTGAACCTGCTAGACCAGCTCCCCTGATCTGTCCACCCTGTGGTATTCGTTTTAGTTCAGCCAGCACTTTGGAGGCTCATCGTACCTTCTATTGCGCCCATCGACCGCGTCTCGAAGAGGACGCGACCAACGATGAGGATGAGGAGAAATCGAGTAAGTTCGAAGTACGGAAGGCCTACGCTTGTCCGCATTGTTCGTACAGTGCCGACAAGAAGGTCTCATTGAATCGGCACATGCGAATGCATGCGGCATCTCCGGCACCACCGACGATCCCAACGGTAACGGCTACGACAGGAACGACGCCAGGAAATAATTCGACGACGGCCTCGAATGGTTCTCTCAACGAGGAAGCCGAGAGATATTGTCGCAATTGTGACATCAGATTTAACTCCCTGAAGACTTATCGGGCTCATAAAACGCATTACTGTAGTACCAGGCACGTTGTCAAGGACGGTGCACCTCCGCCACCACCTCCTGCAACAACAGGAACATCTTCCTCGGCTAAAGCTTCACCACCTACGAGTTCGAGTCCTGGTGATTCTCCGCCACCACAGCCATGTTTGGCATTACCTACCAATCCGATTCTCATTGTGCCGTATTCCCTCATACGTGGTGCCAGTGTGCTAGCTGCGCCAGCTCTTCCTGCTCCCGATACGGCCTGCTTTCTACTGCCAAATGGATCCTTGCAACCAATGATGAGAGGCTTAGCCAGCACGAATACCGTCACCGAACCACCAGCCGTCCTTAGAGCAGCCAACAAACCTACCACGCCAGCATCGCTCGTTAGTTCCTCCACCTCGCCGTCCGTTTCGACACCTCTTGATCTCAGCGTTAGAAGATCACCGACAGCACATCAGGACGAGAAAGAAAATAGAGTATCGCCGGCTCCAACTTCACTTCCTCCACCACCAGGTAGCCCGAGATCGTCTAGAGGTAGTGCCAGTCCACGAGCAAGGTCGATCGGTACAAATCAAAGTAGCAGCACCGGATCTGCACCTCCACCACCTCAAACCGAGCTAGCTCTTAGACTGGCTGAGTTACCACCTCCTCCTGTTCCCGTGCCCGTACCTGGTGTTCTCGTGAAACATGGTGTCTCCAGGTGAGTCTGTACTCTTATTAAAAATAAGAAAAAAAATTCTTCATTCTTCTAAAAGGTCCTACTTTTTAAGATATTATTTATGATCAAAAAATATCATTTCAGATGCAAAGAGTGCAACATCGTCTTTTGTCGACACGAAAACTTCGTCGCTCACAAGAAACATTATTGCCAAGCAAGGGAAACGACTGTGAGTAATAGCCCTCCACCGCCTAGCACTCCTTCACCACCACTGGTGCAGTTAATCTGTGCAGCATGTGGTATTAAATTCGCTTCCATGGATAATCTCGTTGCTCATCAAGCTTTTTACTGTCCAAAGAGGCCCGAATCGCAAGAACACCATTCTCGGTGCACCAAATGTAAGGTGGGTAAACAATTGAATAAATGAATAAACAATCGAACGTTTGTTGCATTCAACAGAAATATGAAGAATATAAACGTTTCTAGGCGATAATCGAAGCAGGTAGTACGCACACGTGCAGTGGTGGACCGACTAGTGGTTGGCGGTGTCCCGTATGCGGTGCTGTCAGTCCAACGGCCGGTGCAGCGCAACGTCACATGGATGCTCATCAAGGTGTCAAAGCGTTTAGATGTACGATTTGCCGTTACAAAGGGAACACATTACGTGGCATGCGGACGCACATAAGAATGCACTTTGAGAAACGTGGTACGGATCTTCAGGTATGGTTATCCATATGAGACATTGAAAAATGCAATCAACGTCTCTTCGAAATGGAAAAGAACAAAAAAAAATAAAAAAATAAAAGAAACAAAACAGATACATGACGAAATTACTTTCTTCCCTTAGGAGGAAAATTACATAACATGCGTCCTCGACGATGAAGCAGTTCTTCCTACTCCTGAACCTGCTCCTGCCACCACACCGGAAGAAATACCAACGGAAGTACAGATCAATGGGAAGAGTGAAGTTCGTAAAAGTCCTCAACCACCAGTTTTGCCACCACCCGCGGCTGTGACCAGTAAAGTGAAGCAAGAACGCGAGGAGAGTCCACCGCCTGAGGAAAGTCTCGATCCTAACAAAACTGGACCGCGTTATTGTCGGTCATGCGACATAAGTTTCAATTACTTGAGCACATTCATAGCGCACAAAAAGTTCTATTGTTCGAGTCACGCCGGTGAGGCGAGTAATAATAATAACAACAATAACAATTCGAGTAGCCACGCCACGACTCCGCCCAGCGGTAGAACCGAGGCATCCGTACTTTAGATTATTATAACATACGACGTGTTGGATAACAATGTCCATCCTCAAAAGACATTTCATCTTCGCGTTGTTTTCTCTCGGATTAATGAAAAACATGGATGCGAACGTGTACGACGATGGGTCTGTTAATTGTTGCCAGTTAATATATACATATAATATGATAGCGATTACAGATTAACCGACTTAGTTGACTACCATCATGTGATTTTTGTCGATCCAGGGAATTGTTCGTACTTATTATAAGCTGACGAATCGCATCAATAATGTGTACATAAGCACTCTCGTATATAGAATTCAAGGAAAATTACGCGAACGATAATAAAGCAGCAAAAGTGTCGCGGGCCGATCGATCCTTCTGTCAAATCGTTTACCGTTGGATCGATCAAATTATAAGATATAAATCATATCGATCTTATGGTGACGCTTAACGTATCATTCTTCTTGTATATAAAAGAATAATTGCGGTTAGATGAGATGATCGGTACGCTTATCTCCTTAACCACGATCGACGATCCGATTAAAGTTGTGCAATCTCATGACTATTCAATAATCTCGTAGTATATAGTAATTATCGACATACCTAAGGTTAAATAAAGATGATTAAGTGAGTGTAAAATGTTGTACAGTAGATACTTAGAGTATTATGGAAAGGTAGAAACGATCTTAAATAATGATACCAATCTCAATTTTTGAATCTATTAAGTTACGTCGGCGATATAGAGTTACATACATGTATATACAGGATGGTTATGAATAACTGATGATTTCATGTATCGTTGTTTATATGTATTTCCCTCCTTTTTCTTGGGAGCGTAAAAGTTTAGCAAAAAAAAGTTTGTCTATCTTCAACGTAAGGAAGAAAAGAAAAAAAATAAGAAAAACACATTTACGCGAGTCACATTCAGTTATCCTTTGAAAATTTCCTGTATAAATATGTAGGTAACTAAAAGGGCGCACTCACACTTGTTGGGGTAACTAGTGCATCGATGACCGTTCCACGAACGTAAGTGAGTTTGCCAAAAAACATTATTATTTAGGCAAATATTTTCTACCGAATTTTCGTTCTGTCTCAGCACACGAATTACATTGCATTACATTATGTTACATTTTGTTAATTTATAAATTTATAGTCAAATTACCATAGTTTAAATTCCGATAAAAATCGGCGAACTTTTAATGACACAGTTACATAAATACATACACACAGGTACATATAAACACGTACACACAGATACATAACATAAACATGAACACACATATACAATCAAAAAGCACCGCGAGTACTTGTATACAAGTCATGTCTCATTGCGAGCGCGTAAATGTAAAAATTAGAGTTAAGGTCATGTTACGTGTATACGCAGTACTACCCATATCATATGACAAGTTCATTAAAAAGACATCAACTTCTTCGTGTGAAGACCTCATGATAAAAATTTGATAGGAGTTTAAATATTAATTAATATGGAATTCTGATGCAGAAAGTGCCGTCAAGAATATCGGCTATTTACTTGATTTAAATAACTTCCTACGATTATTGTTGACTTTCATATACACAATTAATGTAAAATGCTTTCTCCCGATAAATTTATATAGAATGTATTCTGAAATACTTTCATGAGAGTATTCTTGTTATATTATTTATAAACCAATACTTATTAATTAATTCCCTCAGAAAGAAAAAGTGGTCGGAATTTATTACTCATAAACCTTGAATATGAAATTTAACATTATATAGCGGAAGATAACTTGTTGCGAAAATTTGTAAATCTCTATCCGGTACTTCCATCACGTTTATATAACGTGGCATAGTGTTACGCATCATTCTTTCAATAAGAACAATTTTCTTTTTCATATTTCTAAACATCTTCCTTTGTCAAACATCTTGATGCTAGGCTTACTTTATTGTTTTTATTTTGATAGATGAATTTTACACACAAGATATATCTATACAAATATGTAATAAATATATAAACATGCAAATAAAATTCTACAACCTTTACAAACCATAATTATTTTGTTGCAGGTATTAAAATAGAAGAAGCCAAAGGAATAGAGTATCTATAATAATTTCACTTATTATTTAATTAGATTTTCATTTTATCCTCCATTCAAAATATATTTAATATATTAATAATATTCAAAATATTTTTTGTTTTGTTTCAAATGATATACATTACTAATATAAAAATAGTCAAGGCATACTGGTATTAAAATAGAAGAAGCCAAAGGAATAGAGTATCTATAATAATTTCACTTATTATTTAATTAGATCTTCATTTTATCCTCCACATATTCAAAATATTTTTTGTTTTGTTTCAAATGATATACATTACTAATATAAAAATAGTCAAGGCATACTGTCACAACTACTATTACACTTATCACACTTGTCACACTAATATAGATAAAGTATAAATGAAGATAATTTTTTAATCCATGTATATTTATAAAATGCAATCATATTCATAAGACATACATTTTAAAAACTATCTGCCGCAAATACAAACCTAATGATATATTCATCGAGAGCCTTTTACACAATTATAATTATTCCACATCTTTACCATGATAATTTTTCTAAGGATATAATATCATGGTCATCGTCATATTATGCAAAAAACACCATCACTTGAATCACTTTCAGCACCACTCAATTCTTGTTTTATTTGTGCTTTATACCGTGCATATTTATAACCATATTGTTCCACATCTTCCTTATTTATAGCACATACAAAATCATCTTCGCTTGAAAGATCTGATGATTCCTCATCATCTAGGTTAATTTTCATGACAGCTCTTCTCATTTCGTCTTCATCTACAGATAAATCTGAATGTTCAGTATCCGGATAATCATTCCACCAGTGAGATTCTGAATTGGAATCTTCAGTTTCATATCCATTACTGGAACCATCTTCGTCTCTATTCATATCAAATACAAATTCTTGTTCAAGACCATGAATAGATACAATATCATCTATTATCATATCACTACCCGTTTGAGTATAATACAAGTCATATACAAAATTTTCTAACTGAAACAAAATAAATATATGCACATATATATAAAATGTTTTATATAAGTAATGATAGACAAGGACATTATCACGTACCGTTTCAGAATCTAGATTTTTTGCAGTTGAACACGAAAAAGAATCTTCAACATCTATTACAGTCATAGTATCTTCTAATTCATTAGTATTTAATGTATCCAAAGAACGACAACAATTAACGACTTTGTATCTATTCTCGATAGATTTTTGTTTAATCCTTTCGCGTATTACATTCTTAACATCCACAACATGTTGCTTATAATTTGCTTTTAATTCATTTTTACCTACTGTTTTTACTAAATGTTCAATCACATCTTCGTCCTATCGAAACAATTAATATTGGTTTTAATTTATTTATTTATCATATAGTATATATATTGTTTTTTGAAAAAGAAAAACTCACCTGATTCGTTATTGTTCCAGCGAATTTCACAACCGCAGTTACTGATGTTAAATCAGTCGCATTTTCAGTCTCATCATTTTCGGTAGTTTTACATCGTTTACATGCGATCACCAAAGCATTTAACGGTTCATCGTTGTGTCTACGTTTAACGCGTAAAATTGCAGCCATTTTTGTTGTTTTCTTAAAAGCAAACAGAGCCTCAAATTAAAATTTAGAATAAGAATATGCTATCTAGCATAAGACACTGTGTCGGAAAACGTAAAATGTCGATAATGCAGAAATATTTGCTTTTCTTTTGTTAATAAATAAATCCTGAGCCAACTAAAAAAGGCTTATAACGTGTCTATGAAATAGTCCAGCGTTGTACGAATTTCAATTTCTTCACGTTGTGAATCATCGATAAACTACTCTGTAGATACATATACTGTAAACCATTACGCTGTTCATCACCTTTCGTTTGAAGAACGTGTGGCGACCTCGTTGCGACTGTTACGCCTCCTTCGGCTAGATATATAACTAACACGTCTCTGTGCCACCAAACGCACACCAAACCAACCAAACAAAGTGAAAGCAACAAAGACGCCGAAAACAAAGGAGACGACAAAAGATGCCGGGAACAAAAAAAGAAATCATTCTTTCTTTGATTCTTCTTAAAATTACAGCCATAGCTACTGAAAGTGATAGTCTGATTAAACTACTGTGCACCTGACAAAATTAAATAAATATATCACAATTATTGCTTATGCAAAGTTTCTTTCTATGTAGTGGGTTATCCATGAAAAATCCACAAGTGCATGACTTCAGCGCCAGCTATAAACAAAATATAAACTACAAGTTTAAGCGGGAAACACCACACACCTAACTTATTGTTGTATAAGCTTGATAGGTTATATTCCTCTCACGTGTCTAACAATTGGGTTCGTATAGGTTAAAGTAGGTAGGTTAGTAGATTGAACTCACACTTTTCAATTTTTCATATTTTTATTTTTTTTTATGTTAGCGTGCATTCGTGCTAGATATAACGTTGGTACGCATTTGTTCCGCAAACAATGCATATAGGATAATAAATATAATTAACACATTTAATAACTAGTATATAAATTTATGACAGAAAACAAAATCTTATCGAATGTTTTATCTAAAATAATTAGTGTTGCAAATGAAAATCATCAGTTTATATACTAGAGATTTACTTGTTCTGACTGAAATTCGAAAATTCGTAATAGATATTAAAGTTCATCAATAATGTTTTCAAAGTTTGACTATTAATGAAAAATGCAAATATAACACTTACTGTCAATGGAATATGAAGTAATATACGAAATTCCTTCTTATGGATTACTTTCTTATGGATGTATATTTTTCATTTCAGATGTATCTGTACGATATTTCAAAAACATTGATGTGATTGTAGTAGGGGATATAAAAATTCATAAACTTAGAGATATTGCGATTGCTAGAAAAAGATGTATCAGTGATCCAATTAATGAAGAATATAAATTCACTGCTTATCGTGACAGAAAGGAAATGTCATTACAAGAAATGTTAATATTATCTATGCACATCACTCTTGAGAATGTACCAATGATCAAGGCGAAGACAATCAAACTCGTTGAAGATAAGAACAATACCTCAGTAAAGAAACTTGTTTCTCCACTGCTTTTAGACATTTTAAATAATTTGTCTTTGGTGGAAGCTGATGTTAATATATTCGAATCGCCAAGCAAATTCGGTTATAGATATTTCTGAAGATGTCACTGTTTTAGAATCAAGTATGATGAAAATAAGTGAAAGCATCATTGACTATTGAATATGGATAGTTGACAAACGGAGAAAGAGACAACTTAAACCAACATCTAAAATTTACAACAACCAGTGGTTTCGTTTTATCTTGTGAAAAAAGAAACAAATACATAACTGGACATCGATTTTACAGGAATTTCAATTACCTACAGTTTTAGAGAAATGTACTTCCGAGGAATCTTGAATATTGTTAAAAAATACTATTAAAGTTCAGGAAAATACCATGATTATTAACGTTAAGAGCAATGAATTTAAGTGGTTGCAACAAGTGCAAACTATACTTATCAGGAATGAAAAATAGAATATCAATAATACGAGCGGCATATTTGTTGAAGAAGGAAAATTCTAATCTGGTCTTCATTCTAGAATTCATTAATTGTTTACAAAATAAACCTGACTGAGACGTCTTCTGAGTTGATTTACTTCGAGATCTTAAAGTTTTCTTTAACTTTAAGACTTTACTCTTATATTTATATCAGCTACTTCCACCTCGCAAGTCCAAACTTACTTATCACGCCATTATTAATCAATTGGTATGTATGAAAGCATTTTATCAAATTATTAAGGACTATCATGAAGTAATATAAAATTATTTTTTAACAATCACGTAGAGATTTAAGTACGATACGTTGAGTTGAAAAGCCAATTACAAAGGATTATTAAAATGAAGATCTTGTTGTTTTTCATTATACATCATTGAATTTTAAAGATGTAATGTTGTAAATGAGTAAAATAGCACCAGACGTAAAAACAAAACAAAAAAGATTTAGATAACCTATTTGGATTTGAATACAGCGGAATCACCATTAATAGTCATCGTATTATGGGAGTTAACCGCAATAGGTCAATTAATTATTAAAAGATTGTTATAACATTTTGTATATAAAATATTAAGAAATAAAAGTAAATTAAATGAATAATATTGTTTTTAGATGTTTATCAAATTTTTGTCAGTTGGACTAAACTTTTTCTTGGACTGTACCTGAAAGTTGGAGTTTAGAGGATACAGCAACTCTACTGTATGTCTATTGCACATGTATCTTTGCACTTTACATTAATGAAGAAATGAAAAAAGGTGACAAAATACTTATTCATACTGGTTCTGATGGTATTAGCCAAATCGCAATTAACTTAGTCCTTTGGGCTGTTAAATATTTACTACAGTCGTTACACCAGAAAAACGTAAATTTATTAAAGAAACATTTACTAGTATCGATGATAATCACATTGGAAATTTTCGAGATACTTCGAGAAAATGGTTTTGCAACAAACCCATGATGCAGGTGTAGACATTGTTCTAAATTCTTTAGCAGAAGATAAACTTCAAGCGAGTCTGCGTTGTTTAGCCCATAGAAGTAAATTTTTAAAAATTGAAAAGTTCGACTTAGCAGTAAGAATGAATTAAGCACCAGAATCTTTATGAAGGGCTGTGTTTTTATGGTGTTAGGTTAGATAAGATTATAAACACAAATGACGAAGTCAAAAACGAAATTAGTTCAATATTCAACAAACTTATTAAGGAGAATGCTATCAAGCCGATAATTAGGACAGTCTTCGACAAATATCAATTAAAGACAGCACTTAAATTCATGGCAGCTGAAAAGCATATGGGAAAAGTAATTTAATATTCGTTGTTGAAATATTTTTTTGTTTTAACAAATTAAATTATAATTTGAAATCCGTATTATATGTCATAAGTACTGATAAAGATCCGCGAAAAGAATGAATCACTGTATATATCCATTTTGGCCGATCCTTCTTAAACATGTATTATAAACAAGTTATATAGTTCTTGGTGGATTGGGAGGTTTTGATTTGGAATTAATCGATTGGTTAATTCTTCGAAATGCTCAAAATACTTCGCGTAACAGCGTAAAGAATGATTATCAATGCATGAGAATCAAAATATCGGAATCATACGGCGTGAATATCAAGATCCTGGTTGATCTCGATGCAGCTAAAGTTGTGAACTTATCGATAGTATATTCAATTTCGCGGTTTCTTTAAAAGATAATATTTGTAGAAACCAAATGCCGTAAACTTTTAAGGAATCTTTCGAAAGAAAAGCGTGGGCCACGAAATGTTTAGACGAGGTGACTAGAAAGTTTTGTCTAGATTTTCGACACTTCGTAATTTTTTTTTCTGTCTCGTATGAAATGGGAAATGCCGAATAAATGAATTACGGTATAGTTAATTGCATTATGGAAAGAATATGTGAAAAAAAGTAGAAGGTTTGCCTGGATTAGCTATACAATGGGGAGCGATTAGAGATATTGGTCTAGTTGCTGACATGCAGAATGAAAATAAAGAACTTATTATTGATGGTACGCAACAGCAAAAGATATGTTTACAAGAACTGAATAGATTTTTGGTACAGGTACATAAATTTATAGTTGCAAGTATGATGATTGCCGAAAAACTCAACTAGCGTTGAGAATAATGTTGTAGATGCTGTTGTAAACATTATAAATATATATTTTCCAACTGATATTAATATTATTGATTTTAATAATTTTATTTATGTACTTATATTTCCATGATATACCATTTTACTTATCATTTTCTTAAAAGTACAAATTCTTAATCGCAGATATTAAAAAGTTAAAGAATATCAGTCTACATAAATCCTTGGCTGAACTTGGAATGGATTCTATGATGGCGGTAGAAATAAAACAGCACAGATCACGCTAAGTTCACGTTAGCCAGTGGAGGAAATAAATATGAGATAGGATAGTAACACTTTACTAGATTAATAATCTTTAAGTAACACCTTAGAGATTAATAAAAGAAAAACCGTTGGAATCATTTTAGCTTCGAACTTACAATTCCTTAATTACGAATCTATACGCTTGCGAATGTGCAACACATTGGTTAAAAAATTTCTATCTTTTTACTATATAAAATCTAAAAGAAATTACAAATTTTTCAAAAATTTGACAATTTTAGAAACTCAAATCCTTTGACATAAACCATTGAACATGTATTTTCTTATTTTTGTCATAAAATCATCTGGTCACAGCTTATTAAATAATCGAGTGAATTACCATAGCTTCTCTGTGCGAGCATTGTGAAACGCATTTCTTTGTGTTCGGAAATGATCAACAAATCTGAGCATCAGCTATTTAACCCATTCGAGACCAATTGCACGCCGTGTGTGCAATTGGTCTCGAGGCTTTTACGAGGCTATGAGATCAGCTGCACACCGGAGTGCAATAGTAACGATGAAAAAAAAATATTTGGATCCTGGGCACCGTGTTCGAAAAAATTCGCGGTCTCGAATGGGTTAAGCACACTATCAAGTAGGCAATCGCTATTTCACAGAGACATAAAAGATACTATTCAAACGTGTATATGAAAATCAATAGTAGGGGCTTCATCTTTTTTGCCGCAAATATTGAGGAACACTTGAGTACTAAATTTTTTCTTCATGAAAAATATCAAAAATAGCATTTACGTCACCAATGAGAGTAGTAGTAATCCTTGACCAATTATAATGAACAAGGTCTCATTTTAAAAATGAAGATTTAATCTACGGCACCCTTTTGACGAAGTTTTGAAAAAGCTTTTTATTTGTGCATAAATTATTCTCGAAAAAATATTATTTTTTAACACTATTTGTTTCAAAGAAAATAAAGTTTTTTCAAAAATTCGCCGAAAAAATGCCGTAAACTAAAATTAAACCTTCGTCTTTAAAATGAGACCTTGTTCAATAAAATCGGTCACAATTACCCCTGTTCTCATCGAAAATGTAATCCATTGAAAAACCAGAGATAATGAACAGCCTTAAGTAGTAAGTGAATTTTTAAGTCCCTCCGATCACTCGTCAAGCAAAGGTCCGAATCGGCATGAATGATTGTAATTAATTAGTAAAAAAGCATTGAATGACTACGAGTAAATTTCTTTGGAGATTTACTCATTAATGGTTTTATATTTTTTGATTTATTTATCAGATCAGGATAGGCTCTTTTTGTCCGAAATCATTTATAATTATTTGAATATTGAAATTTTTAATATTTCCATACAAGAAACAAATTTTGTAGTACTGTCGAATTAAAATTGTATGGAATAGAAACTGGCTTAAATTTTTGCACGAAGGGACATAAAAGCTTTCATTTAGATGAAATACGGAATGGTTGTTTTCAAAAGGCATTGTACACATTGCGATTTGATTTATTTTTAGAAGAATAATTCTTTATAAATAGAATCACCGTTAAATTGTGATCTTAATAGTTAGTTCCGCGTATAAATCGCGAAAGATCGTGAACTCGGGAGGGAATAATTAATAAATAAGATTATTTTACTAACATATAAACAATTCTTAGCAACATTACAAAAATCCTAAGATATGATTAATATACATATATACTATCGATTTAAAATTGATCATGTTGAATACATACCAATTTAGATTTTTATACGAGAAGTTATAAATGGGTTTCCAGATGCAGCAACCTTCTGGTTGCTGTATCCAGCATGACCAGGGTTGATAATATTTGCGATATATAGAAATCTTATGGGATGCAAGTGCTACCGAGCGAATGGTTGCATATTTCAAGATTTTATCAAAATCTTTTCAATCTAATTCCGATTAAACATAGCTTGGATATAATAAAATTCTAAAATAATTTCTTAGAAAAAAACATAGAAAACTTTTTTATCGAACTTACGCTCGATATCATACCTACATATTTCCTATTTATTTTTATTTACTCTGATTAATAAATATCAAATGTGGGCCCTTGAGACTCTGATTAATAAATATCAAATATTGGCCTTGGAAAGGTCTCCTTTCAGTAGGGAAAAATCGAGCTCGATTTTGATACTCTATTTTTGCTCAGTTGAAATGATCTTCTAAATGTCTATTAACAGCGTTCTGAATTCTATGATTCTCACTCTTCCTTTCTCATTTTCTAATTAATCTTCTTCTCTTTCTTACTAATTTTCTTTTCTCACTATTTTTTTCTATCTCCTCTTTCTTTTCTTTCTCTTCTTCTCTTCTATTTCTCTCCTTCTCTTCTTCTCCAGACTGTATCATCGAGGAATAAATTCATCTGTAGTTGAGTTGATCGGGAAGGATTTGATAGATATATCGGCATGAATTTGATGTATTGGCGAGTGGCTCGGTTTATTATCGATTTGTATATTGGAATATAGGTAGGATAGGAAGAACACTTGCAGGCATGTCGACGGGCACAGGTGTGGATATTTTTCAAATATTTTCGATATTGCTCGAAATTTTGAATAGAAGATCGTTCGTGTTAGAGAGCAGTGTATATAACTACAGATGTTGCAATGATTATTCGTAAGTGGGGACCGATTCTCCTCCAAATAGCGTTGGAGCCCGAATTCTCGTTTAGCTCATGTCACCCCGGAAATGTCGGAAATGTATTTTAGAGTAGTCACTATTATTCTAACACTTACGTGGGTATTTACGGGCACGATTAAAAGTTCTATCGTGGACTTCCTTTTATTGCTCGAAATTTCTCGGAACGCGAATTTTAGAATAGGGTCACTATCAGCTCGTGAGTCTCTAAATGCAGTAATCTCCACGTGATGAGATCTGAGTCGATAATACTTGCAATATATAGAAATCTATATCTAGATTATATAACGTAAGTTTTACCAAATAAATGATTACGTATACTGTATTTCAGCATTTTCTAAAATGTTTATTGTTTGATTATAAATACTTGGGCATAATATGCCTCAACTGAATATAGGCAATTATATTTAAATAAATATCAGGTCAATCCAAAAGTTAGTGAGCATTTTGGCGAAATATACATGCTACTAATGCACACGAACTTTTGGACTGACCTAATAATTAAACAATATGATAAAACGATTTCTTTTTTGAGAAATTCTAGTTTCTTTATTATTGTTCTACATTTACTGTAATATTCTGTATTTACTGTAATTTCTAACACATAGGGATTTTTATACAGGTGAACATAAAACCTTTCAATTGTGTGAAATGTAGAACGACTCTTTTTATTATTGAAGTCGAAACAAATTTTTTTTTCTTTTTCAAAATTCGATTAAAAATAATTTTATTTTAATAAATTCAAATTTTATATTAAAGTCGAGTCTAAATTTTGCACTTTTTCTCTTTTTTAAGATTCAATTAAATTTATAATTTTATTTTATATCATAACTGCAAAATATATAAAATATGACAATTGTGGATACTACTGAAATTGCACTGAATAAAGGTGCACATGGAATTGAAACAAGCACACTGAGAATTTATGTCAAGTGCGCCACATGTTACGAAAACGAATATTTATTTAGATTAAAATCAAGAATTTTTAATTTTTTTTCTATATTTTTTAATAATTCATTCGAATGGTTGATTTTTTTATTATTTCAGAAAAAAGAAATACAAAAATATTTCCTTAAATCTTAGCCATCCGTCGTGCTTGAGAAGAAATATACTAGTATAATAACAATAAATATATAAAATATCCATTTAATTAGTTTATGCAAAATCATCTTTATGCTAATTCGGTCGATAGCGCCGTCTAAATTAGTCAATGAAGTAATATAAGACTTTATCGTAGACGTTGCAAATTTGTCCGAAAACAACATTTCTCATTAGCATAGCAGCGTGTCTAAAGAGTTATACGAAGTTCTTTTTCATTATCCTTTTTTAATCGATTACAATAATACGTATTTAAGATTGTTCATTATCCCTAATCTTATAATACGTATACGTATAAGATTGTTCATCATCCCTAATCTTATTATGCCAACAATGAGTACAAGTGTAATTCTTGAATTATTTCAATTAAAAAGACCTTATTTTAAATATGAAGATTTAAGGGAGAACATAACTTTTTCGATTTTTCGAAAGTTTTATTTTTATGCATAAACTATTCTCGAAAAAAACATTGTTTTTTGATACGATTTTTTTTCAAAGAAATTAAAGTTTTTTCAAAAATTCGCAAAAATAATGTTCGCGCTTGATCCTTCATCTTCGTTCATCAAAATAGTTTAAGAATTACATTTGTACTTATTGTTGAAATTACCCATTGTAAAATCAAAGGTAATGAACAATCATATTTAAATAGTATATTATATATATAGGAGAATAGTGTTTCTCTATTACGCTTGTAGTTCATATTTTGTCCATATTTGTCGCTGAAGCCATATATGCTATGAGCAAAAATTCATGAACAGGCTTAATGATAAATAATATTACAGAAATACACGAAAAATTATAAAGCCAAAAGTTTATGAACTGGGATTGGATTAATAGATAATAATTTAAAATAAATAAATAAGTAAATAAAAATGTAATTAAAAATTAAAAGGTTCGTTTATATCAACGTATATAACGTAATATATATGCATTTTCCGCATTAATATACTAATATTTTTTATACTATTCTTTTTCCTAGCAGTTAATTTCTTCTTAATAAGAGGATTATAAATAGAATAATTATGGAGAATATGAGGTAAGGAGGAATTAATTTGTTAAGTTGTTAGATTAATAATATAGCAATTCTAAAGATTGTCTTTTTTTTTAATTTATGTGTTATAGTTCTTCATTTTTTTAGTATCTAAAGTATTAAAGTCGAAGTATGTTAATAATCACTGGATATCGTAGCATTAAAATAAGGATAATTCATTTAAAACCAGAAAATTATGCTCGCATTAGTATATACAAACAAACCGTTTGTACAAATAATTATACCTTCTTTTAAAGAAACTAATCTTTACAGAAAAATTAATGCATTTTTAAAATACTCTTTTATTTGGTACATTACTTACTTAGTACTTTAGAAAATGTTAAATAGTGAATGTCTAAGTTTTTTTTATATTAAATATTGGTTGGTAAAAATGTAAATTTTTGAACGAACATTTTAGATGCTTGGAAAAATTATAAATATAACTCCTAGTCATAGTTGACTGTATATAACAAGTTTAAAACTCAATGCAAAAGGTAGAAAGGAAAGATGTCCTTCATCAGAAACATCCTAACATATACAATCTTTTTCAAAGTAGATTGTAATTCAATCCTTTTACATTCTAATTGAAGGCAAATATTTTCAATTATATCGATTATGTCATTGACGTAACTTCATGCGGTTTTGTGGTAAAAATTGGTAATATTATTACAGGATTTATCTGATGAATCATTGAGATATAAATAATGCTTTTAAGACAACCTATAGGTATTTGGAATGCTACAAACCAGTTTGTAAGTCTTTTTATTGTATCTTCTATTTAAAGAAATGCAGAGGCAGAAACTCGCATTCTCTCGTGCGATCTCATCTTCGGTACGAGCGTGACATGAATCAAGTTAGCTTTGGGAAACTCCTGAAGATCGATGACGTAGCTTAATCCTAGCCGATTAGCGTCAGTCTTATCGATTACATTACAAAGAGCGGTACATACTCCTGGTAAGAATAAAATAATAACTATTCATTGCCATCCGACATATGTCTTCGACTTATGTCGGTTTCGATCGTATCAGCTAAACATGTCCTTTCACTATGGGTAGCATCCTTATATATATATACAAGTATCGAAAGAGGATGTCCTCAGTAATAGATGCTCAATTGTCTTATATACTTCGTAGGTATTCTTGAATATTTGGCGATAAACGATTAAATGGATAATATATTTTCTTTGAACAATATTTATTTAAGATGTTATTTTCTTCTTACTTTCTTTGCTACGACGTATGCAGCTCCAGGTATCGTTCATTTTTTTTTCTTTAAATTATTTAATTTCTTTTCTATTATTATTTCAATAACACGATATGTTTTTTTAGGAGTTTTAGGATCGTTTGCCGGTAGTAGTTCCGCTGCATTCAGTATGTATAATTTATATTAATTATTTTCATCGATATATTATATATATACGTTTTGTAAAAACTTCGCGTAAATTAAACATCGAAATAAAAATGAAATTGTGATCTATTCATTGTAATTTTGTAATAAAATGTCAAATAAAACTGATGTTATTTGTATTATTTTAGGTAGTGCTTCAGCTAGTGCACATGCAGGTTCTGTTGCAAGTGCAATCAGTTCTGCAAATGCTTTCACTGGTGGTGCTTTTCCTTCGAAAAATCCTGATGGAACATATGGATTAACTCACCAGCAAGGCATTTCTGCTGGGTCTGGAAGCTATATAGAACTTGGAAATATTAATCCAGATTCTAATAAGTCTGGATTATCTCATCAAGTCTCTGGTACTAAAGGAAGTTACAATAATAAGTCTCAAATACCATGTTCCGGATGTTCAAATAATAAAGAAAAATGGGAATTAGATAATTATGATGACCAATCTGAAGAAAAGGAAGAAGAATGGCAAGAAGGGGAACAAGATGATTGTGATGATGGCCAATACAGACTTGAACATCATTATCACCATCATAAAAGTGGAGTAGATAAGAAACAAGAAGAACAAACCATGTCAAGCATACATAAAATAGAAAATACCAATCAATATAATTACAATCAAGCTAATAATAAAGGTGGATATACAACCAGTGGTACCAAAGGACAGGGAAATCTCAATGATAGAACATACAATAATTATGGTAATCTTGGACATGTTGGAGCAAATAATCAAAATTTAAATAATAATTATGATGCTTATCAACATAATACCGGTGCTTTGAAAGATTCTTTGCATCCTTCTTCAAGTTGGACTGATATAAATAAAAAGAAAGAAAATGAAAATAAAAATTTAGGCATTCCAGGAGTTCTAACATCTACTTCAACTATAGATAATAAATATGGAAATACAAATAAAGATACAGTTGGTGGTATAACATCTAGCCAACCAAATTTAGGTTGGACAAGTGATACTTATGCAGGTTGTTCTAATACTGGATCTGGATCTGGAACAAATTGTGCAAAAAGTACAGGTGCCTCTAACTCTAATCAAGCACCTGTTAAAATAATCCAATCAGATCTTAAAAAAACTACTAATCGTTCAATGTCAGAAGGAAATAGAGCTACTACAGCATGTAACAATTTACATGGAAACTGTGGTAATAGTATAACAGGTGAAGAGACACAATACCAATCTACATCTGTAGATAGTACAAATTATTTGCAGAATGGATACACTGATAGTACACGAAAAGAAAATAAACCAAATTTATATAATCAACAAAATACAGGACAATGGAAAGATCACGCTAATAAAGATAATTCACCGAATGGAGTTGTTGGTAATGTGGGTGTAGGATCAGGTTGTACTCCTGGAGTCTCTTCTGCTGCTTGTTCAAGTGAACCATCAACTTTGCAAAAAAACACACCTATTCCTACTCAAATATATGGAACTGTTGGTAGTGGACCTGGTAATGTGCATGTAGGAAACAAACCACATTCATATGATCAACAAAATACAGGACAATGGAAAGATCACGCTAATAAAGATAATTCTCCAAGTGGAGTTGTTGGTAATGTGGGTGTTGGATCAGGTTGTACACCTGGAGTCTCTTCTCCCGCTTGTTCAAATGAACCATCAACTTTGCAAAAGAACACACCTATTCCTACTCAAATATATGGAACTGTTGTTAGTGGACCTGGTAATGTAAATGTAGGAAACAAACCACATTCATATGATCAACAAAATACAGGACAATGGAAAGATCACGCTAATAAAGATAATTCTCCAAGTGGAGTTGTTGGTAATGTGGGTGTTGGATCAGGTTGTACACCTGGAGTCTCTTCTCCCGCTTGTTCAAGTGAACCATCAACTTTACAAAAAAACACACCTATTCCTACTCAAATATATGGAACTGTTGGTAGTGGACCTGGTAATGTGCATGTAGGAAACAAACCATATTCATATGATCAACAAAATACAGGACAATGGAAAGATCACGCTAATAAAGATAATTCACCGAGTGGAGTTGTTGGTAATGTGGGTGTAGGATCAGGTTGTACTCCTGGAGTCTCTTCTGCTGCTTGTTCAAGTGAACCATCAACTTTGCAAAAAAACATACCTATTCCTACTCAAATATATGGAACTGTTGGTAGTGGACCTGGTAATGTACATGCAGGAAACAAACCACATTCATATAATCAACCAAATACAGGACAATGGAAAGATCACGCTAATAAAGATAATTCTCCAAGTGGAGTTGTTGGTAATGTGGGTGTTGGATCAGGTTGTACACCTGGAGTCTCTTCTCCCGCTTGTTCAAGTGAACCATCAACTTTGCAAAAAAACACACCTATTCCTACTCAAATATATGGAACTGTTGGTAGTGGACCTGGTAATGTACATGCAGGAAACAAACCACATTCATATAATCAACCAAATACAGGACAATGGAAAGATCACGCTAATAAAGATAATTCTCCAAGTGGAGTTGTTGGTAATGTGGGTGTTGGATCAGGTTGTACACCTGGAGTCTCTTCTCCCGCTTGTTCAAGTGAACCATCAACTTTGCAAAAAAACACACCTATTCCTACTCAAATATATGGAACTGTTGGTAGTGGACCTGGTAATGTACATGCAGGAAACAAACCACATTCATATAATCAACAAAATATAGGACAATGGAAAGATCACGCTAATAAAGATAATTCACCGAGTGGAGTTGTTGGTAATGTGGGTGTTGGATCAGGTTGTACACCTGGAGTCTCTTCTGCTGCTTGTTCAAGTGAACCATCAACTTTGCAAAAAAACACACCTATTCCTACTCAAATATATGGAACTGTTGGTAGTGGACCTGGTAATGTACATGCAGGAAACAAACCACATTCATATAATCAACCAAATACAGGACAATGGAAAGATCACGCTAATAAAGATAATTCTCCAAGTGGAGTTGTTGGTAATGTGGGTGTTGGATCAGGTTGTACACCTGGAGTCTCTTCTCCCGCTTGTTCAAGTGAACCATCAACTTTGCAAAAGAACACACCTATTCCTACTCAAATATATGGAACTGTTGGTAGTGGACCTGGTAATGTACATGCAGGAAACAAACCACATTCATATAATCAACCAAATACAGGACAATGGAAAGATCACGCTAATAAAGATAATTCTCCAAGTGGAGTTGTTGGTAATGTGGGTGTTGGATCAGGTTGTACACCTGGAGTCTCTTCTCCCGCTTGTTCAAGTGAACCATCAACTTTACAAAAAAACACACCTATTCCTACTCAAATATATGGAACTGTTGGTAGTGGACCTGGTAATGTGCATGTAGGAAACAAACCACATTCATATGATCAACAAAATACAGGACAATGGAAAGATCACGCTAATAAAGATAATTCACCGAGTGGAGTTGTTGGTAATGTGGGTGTAGGATCAGGTTGTACTCCTGGAGTCTCTTCTGCTGCTTGTTCAAGTGAACCATCAACTTTGCAAAAAAACATACCTATTCCTACTCAAATATATGGAACTGTTGGTAGTGGACCTGGTAATGTAAATGTAGGAAACAAACCACATTCATATGATCAACAAAATACAGGACAATGGAAAGATCACGCTAATAAAGATAATTCTCCAAGTGGAGTTGTTGGTAATGTGGGTGTTGGATCAGGTTGTACTCCTGGAGTCTCTTCTGCTGCTTGTTCAAGTGAACCATCAACTTTGCAAAAAAACATACCTATTCCTACTGAAATATATGGAACTGTTGGTAGTGGATCTGGTAATGTACATGTAGGAAACAAACCACATTCATATGATCAACAAAATACAGGACAATGGAAAGATCACGCTGATAAAGGTAATTCACCGAATGGAGTTGCTGGTAATGTGGGTGTAGGATCCGGTTGTACTCCTGGAATATCCTTATCTTCTTGTTCGAGTGAAATACCAACTGTACAAAAGAACGTCCCAACTTTTTCTCAAACATTTGGTACTACCGGTAGTGGAGCTTCTTATCAAAATAACAAAAATTCTAACCAACCTAGTGGCTCAGGAAATTGTGGTACTTTTGGTAGTAGCACATGCATAGGTAGCACAGGATACCCCTTAGGAAGTTCTCAAACAACAGTTGGTGCTATTGGAAATGAGCACAATATTCATGGACAAAGTGGTTCTGGAGATAAAAATTCTTATAAATGGAATGGTACAAATCCTTTCTTACATGGAGGACAAGGCAATCTGAGACCAGTTATACATACAACTAGTTCACCTATATTTATTACGAACAGTCTTGATGCATTCGTTACAACTTCCAAACCTATTGGTTTTGGTAATCCTTTTCTAGATGGTACCATAAGTAATACATTCGGAACTCAACATGATAAACATGATGTAGAAGTAACTCCTATTAAAAGTGATGCTTTAAATAAGCCTATTGGTGTGGGAAATCCATTTCTAACGAACGGAAATGGAGGGAGCAAAAGCAGTACTCCAATGTATTCTGGTGCAAGTATAGGAAGCGTTTCAAGTATCAGCATTCTACCATTAGTTACAACAACTATTAAACCTATTGGACAAAATAATCCATTTTTGGAAGTATCAGGTGGAAATGTAGTAAACAAATATCCTCTTGGAGTACATCCAAATGTAGCTGAAAACAACAAAAATGTACTCTCTGGAAGTGGAACTTCTGCAAATAAAGATTCAATACATTTTTCTAAATCAGGAGTAGGAATTACATCTCCTGGAACTTATTCAAATACAAATCGTGGAGTGAAGAGTAGTAATCAGCATAACAAAATATTTGGAAATGTTGCAATTAGTAATGCGGGTTCTTCGAGTACCGGAAACATTGATACAGACAAAAGTACTGGACTCAATATTCCTAGTGCATATAATAGTAATAATTCTGGTCATGGTGTAAGTTCGTTGACAGGTACAGTTGGTAATAACAAACCTTCTTACACACTTTCAACATCTCCTGAATTTTATGATTATAAAAATATATCACCAGAAACAAGTGGAAATGGTGGTGCCACCAATGACAATAGAAATTCTCCGTCCAATTCTTTGATTAATGGAAATAATGCAAATGGTCAATTTAATCCTCAAATAACAAATGCCGGAGCACAATCATTTGCAGGTGCTCATGCCGGAAGTTTCGCTAGTTCTTTTAGTAGTTCTCAAGCTTCAAGTTCAAGTTCGAGTTTTGCCAGCAGTAAATCTGGATCATATACAGCTAATGGAGGTTTGCTATTTCTATACTTTCTTATATTGAACATTTTTTTGCTTTTTATTTCATATTTTTGATATGCATTTTTTAGATCCGAATATTCTGCATCAATTGAACGGTAATTGGCCGTTTGACATTGCTAGAAGTGTGAGTGGAGCCAGTTCTTGGCCATCCTTAAACGCAGGATCGCACGCCTCTGCATTTGCTAGCAGTAGTGTTGGCGGTGTGTATTTTTAATTTGAATATTTTGTTAATTATTAAAATATCTTAATTAATTAAATTATCATTTTTCTAGGCTGGCCCGGATCTGAACCGATCAATGTAAAAAGTTAATAAATTAAATATAAAAGCGCAATTCAAATATGGAAGAAAGATAAAGAAGAAAAACTTTTTAAAAGCAACCATTATCGTATATAATTCAAGATGATATTATCATTTAAAGCGAAAATATTAAGTTATGATTGAAATGAATAAAGAGCAAAGATGTGTAACGCTTGAAAAAATTTCTAAATATATATCTTTTAATTAAATATATTATGTATATTTACATAATATATAAAACGCAAATTGTGTTTTATACTTCCCTTTCTTTTTTTCTTTTTTATTTTCTTTGATTTTATTATCATAAACTTTAATATGAAAAAGTATGCAGATCAAAAAGAAACTTTGTTACAAAGATGAATGATATTCGATGTATCAGGATCACGTGTGTTCATTCTTACATTTAGAAAGATCTGAATGGATTCCAGGAAGAGAATAAATAGTAAGTGAATATATTCACGATTGACTAAGATTGGTCGTTTTCCATGTGTACGGAACACGTGGCATATGCATTTTAACCAATAAGAATATTAAATAGAGTGATTGGCGGGAGTTGCATCGAAGCAAGATTATCGATCATTTCTACGTTTACATAATATTCAAAATGTAATTATTTTACAAGAACTTACCCGATTAGAAGATCAATGATTTTTTTGTGTAGAGAACAGGCGAGTATTATTAAAATATATACTCTTAAAATCGTTAATGTTTTATATAAATGATTTACGTTATAATGAAGATTAAATAAAATTCATATTCGTCGATACTTTAGGCGTTTAATGGTATATTTCACAAATCGTGTTTTCCTTTTACATGGGCTGATTTTCTAACAGAAACAGAATTTGTAAAAACCTCGGAAAAACGATGGGTAGAAATATATAATATAACACAATATTGCAGAGAGCGCAGGCTCTATTTATACACAGTGCACTCCTCGTCGGGAACTACCGATTAAAAACGTTTTTCGATAAAATAGAACGTTCTCCTAAAGAGATTACATCCGAAACGTTTTTTTAGAGTAATCTCTTTTTTATTTCTCTTTATATTTCGTTATTTTTTCTTTTCTTTCGTGCCTCTTTCCTTTCTTGTCTTCTTTTCATTTTTCTCGTGCTCGACACTTGTCTCCTTCTTTTGTTATCTACATTACAACTATTCAGTACATAGAAGACAACGTTTGCGCAGCACCTGTAAATATACATATCTTTATTTATTCTTAACGTGTAAACAATTTGACAAAGTGCTTAACAAATGCATTATTCTTCTTTTTCTTCTTGTTTTTTTTCTTGTTTTTCTTCTTTTTTTTGTTCTTTTCTTTTTTTATTTTCGTTTAATCCTTCAATTTATTCACCGTCCGACCAAACTCGAAATTGTCGATCGTGGAAATTTTTTTTTTATTTCGAGTTCGGCCTAATATCACTTAATCGTTGCGTAAAATTTTACACTTATCGCGAAAACTGAACTATTTTAAGATGTGCGGAAACGAAGGGTACAAGGTAAAAAACAAAATGAGAAATGGCGATAAGTCGTACAAGTATGTATGTATGTATGTATGTATATATATATGTATATATATATTTATATAATATATATAATATGCCCTATGTGAAACGGAAAGAGTTTATTCGTCGAAAGAGTTCAGAGTACTTTGGCAATGAGAGTTTCTACACGTATTATCGCGAGTGATAGCGATCCGCGCGATTTTAATTAGTTCTTATCTTTTCTTTTCTTTTCTTTTTTATATTTTTTTTCTAAAACTGAACGATTAAAACGAACCACTATGAGTTCGTTCAAAAATTTATCATCAACGTAGCGTACATACGTGTGTAGTTTCATTCAATCGAGGTACGAGGAGCAAAACGAAACGATTTACGGTATAAAAAAAATTGCTAAAACTAAATAATATATAATAATAATTATAATAATAATTGTAATAATAATAATAATAATAATAATAATAATAATAATAATAATAATAATAATAATAATAATAATAATAATATTAATAATAATAATTAATAATAATAATAATAAAAATAATAATAATAATAATATTAATAATAATAATAATAATAATAATAATAATAATAATAATAATAATAATAATAATAATAATAATAATAATAATAATAATAGTAATAATAATAATAATAATAATAATAATAATAATAATAATAATAATAATAATAATAATAATAATAATAATAATAATAATAATAATAATAATAATAATTCGAGTAACTATTGTCACGATGCAAATATAGTTCCGTCAATAGTAATAACGACAATGACGATTAATTATTATTTGTAGTCCTCTTCCTCTCTTTATTTGTTATTTTTCTTTCTCTTGCATATCCACCATTTTGCATTTAGATCATATAGATACATACACAGTCGTCGCGTTGAAATCATTTTGATAGAGACTTACGCTAGATGTCGGCACGAAATTCATTTCTTTTTGTTTTGTTGCGCGTAATCCCTTCGAGGCCTACGTTCCACCGTAGATAATAATTTAGTTTTACTGTTTCTTTTTATTTATTTTCTTTTATTTTCTTTATTTTTTTTTTTGTTAATTCTTTATATTACAATAAGTTTGCATCCTACGTGCAAGAATTAACCCTTTGCGGTCTGACACGATGCAGCACTTTTTTTTGTCAGACGTTTTTCTCGCTTACCTATATTGCACGATTTCTTGTCTCTTTAAAATGTAGACAAAGAAAAAAAGCTAGAAAGAGAGAGAGAGAGAGAAAGAGAGAGAGAGAGAGAGAAAGAGAGAGACAGAAAGAGAAAAAGAGAGAGCACCTCGAGAAACAAATAATTTCTTTGTTAGTCCAGCATAACGTCATCGAATCGACACAAGCAAATATCATTTTGGATAAAAGAGTCCCAAGACGTAACTAGAATCTATTTATCTAGTTTTGATCGATACGAACATCCCCTATCATAGCTTGTAATACCTCACAATTTTATTCAGACTGTAATGGAAGTATGTCAGGCTGCAAGGGGTTATGGCGATATAGTCACAGCACGATCGTCGCCTTGAGCGTGCGAGACGACGAGAACAACACACTTTCGATATTTCTTTCTTTAGTTCCTTTTCTACCAACTAATCGTTGATATATATCGATATGTTGACTGATACAAATCAACTAGATTTATCAACGAATTGGGGCCGGGGATCGGGGGATGTATGGTAGAAAGGAAGGACTCGAAGTTAAAGCGAAGAAAATTGATCACGTTGACTATTCGTTATCTTCGATTGATATGCATACGAGACAGCCCCGTCAGTCCGATCATGTTCTTCGTTCAAAAATTCGAATTATTTAAGTACACGCGTGTCGCGTACAGCACTGGGACGCCACTAGGACGTCGAACCGTACCAACTGTTTGCCGTTGCCTTGTTAGACGGGTGATATATATGGAAACCAGCTGCTGCGGCTGCCGCTGCTGCAGCTGGGTGATGATAAAACTGGGCTTGTTCTCCGAGACCAGCAGAGGCGTATGCTGCCGCAGCATCGAGGGCACTCGGGTGAACGGTCGCTGAGTAGACTTGTGGTTTTAGAGGTAAAGGTTGAGCCGGTTCGTACTGATGACGTAATACAGGTTCCCCATAGGTCGAGGAGGTGTCATACGAGCTGATCACATTCACCGGGTGAAGTTGTTGTTGCTGTTGTTGTTGCTGTTGCTGCTGTGGTTGCTGTTGATGGTGATGGTGGTGATGATGCTGTTGCTGTTGTTGCTTGTCACGAGGCGAGACTGATGACGGTGGCGTCATGGCCGAATGATAATCTACCGCGTAACCACCTGCCGTCGAATATGAAGATACCAAACTTGTAAAAGCATCGGTTCCACAGCTGTTACCACTGGCCGAAGCTTTTTGATTGTGTGTAGTTAGAATGAACTGATGTTCGCCATAGGTACTCGAACCTTCGGAACCCGGTGGTGTTGGTAGTGGACCGTTTTGACCGGTCTCGCTGGCATAATAGGATCCACCCGATGAAGGTGTCCTCGCACCTCCAGCCGACGTTATCCCGTGAACATTCGCACGTATCACGCTTTCCCGATTTGCGTAGAGTTGCCTGAGAAGGGCCGAGGCTGGTAACGGTGCGGTCGCCGATTGTTGAGGACTTAGGTGACCGAGGTGATGATGTGCTCCTATCCATTGTATTGTACTTCTTTGCTGTTGTTGTTTCAACAAAGCGTCCGTACTAAAATCTGTAGGTTGATGTAGACTCGGAGAATTAGATTTATTCAATGCTGTACCAGGTAGATGCTTTGACATCGCTTGTTCCAGGTCCTTCACTGATGCCCCAGCTGTAGCACCAACACCACCGACGCTTCCAGGACCGGTGTCGGTTCCACCAGTGTTACTACCAGGATTACTATTCCCACCACCACCACCACTGTTTTCGGTTACATCAGTTGTCCCAGACCTAACATTTCCTTCACCACTTCGTCTAGACTTTGGACTCGTCGCGCACAAGACTTGTTCGTTTGTAGAGATCGAGTGATTTGAAGGTGTTGGGCTTAAAGGATTATTCCTCTCGTTGTTCGCCACTTTCTCAGTAACCTCCTCCTCTTCGTCCTCCTCATTCGAACTGCTCTCCTCCTCCTGAAGCTTTCGCTTGTGTCCACGTAATTTTACCACCAGCGTGCTGATATTTCCTATTGCTGCCTGTGGTTCCTGCTGAAGCTGAGCCATGCTATCATGATGCCTGTTGCCTCTCTTCTCGCTCTCTGAACCTCGTGTGTCCTCCCGATCTTCCGGCGGAGAACGATGAGGATGTTCTTGATGCTGATTCGTCGGACCTCCACGACTTCGTCCTTCTGAAATGATACGGATCTCTTTTCTATTTTACGCTGACTTTCTTTCGAACTACGTTTTGACACGTACGATATTAGTACATATTCTCGTGGAAACGAACGTTAAAGCTTTTCTCTTTCACACGATTTAAGTTTTGCTAACACAAATTTAATTGTGTCTGTAAATTGTGTTTTTTTTACAAAAAAGAAAATATATAAATGATATATATATATATATATCATATTTTTGAAG